GGTTGGTTACATTCTTATTAAGTAAGGACATGCGTAGCACAGGACTGAGTTCAATTTTAACTGAACCAGTTGAGAACACGCCCATTCAGAGTTATATTCTGAAGTTAAATGCTGACCTAAAGCGTCCAGATTTAACAAAGGACAAGGCTCAGCGATAGTACGAGTTCCTGGTTATGCACGTGTTCTGTAATAACATAGGGAATAACGACCGTGAGAGCCTGTACGCCGAGTTGCGACGTAAACACGCTACTGAGTTCAAGACAAGGGACATGAAACAAAGTTTAATCTATTCCGACTTACGTGGGAACAGTTTTATGATACTGTATCCACCCTTTTTCCAGCACACCGAGTAACATCAAAGGGGAAAGCGGCTGTTAAGAAGCTGCGGGAGCACACCGATCACGGGTACGTATCCAGGCAGACCTCAAACGAGAGACCCCAACATACACGTGCTCGTGACTCTACTCTATCCACGTGACCCAATAAATGGGCACGTGCGGAGGCGAAGAACAGGGAACCACCATTTAAGGAGATTAAGAAATGTGCCGACGCACAGTGTGGGTATGACTTGTACCAATTGACCCCTAACAGTTATTGGAATGGCAGGCATGCATCCACCTGTACACACTTTCTTATTAAGTGCGACAAGTGTGAGAAGACCAATGGCTATCGCACTAAGTCTTGTGACAAAAAGCCCGACATTAAGTTGGAGTGAAAGTGCTACCAGGTACAATCGATACACAGGCAATACAACGACTCTTTAGATGAGCGTGTAATAATCCCTGTATACTGTAATGGAAACAAAATCCTTGCGTTGATTGATCCTGGTTCAGAAATTTCATGTATATCCGATCGCTTTGCATTAATGAAGAATATCGAAAGAAGAACACAAGCAACTCACCTCATTATAGCTGATTATAAAACTTTTAAGTGTGATACCATGGCCACAGATGTTAAAATCTCCCTGACCGACGATAGGAGTATCACTACCCAAGCTGTGATAGTTAAGATGTCACAGAAGTACGACATTATAGTCGGAATGCGCGATTTACTAACTCTAGGTATAACCGTAACTGGTCACCAAATAACATAGATCCATTAAAGGATCAGTCAGACGATAACTGTCTGAATCCATATAAGCCACCGTCAGACACAGTCAAGGCATTAATACCTGACTTTGCGAACAAAGTCATAGATCTGATTCTAGTTAATAAGAAGATAAAGATCACAGATTGGGAAAAATTCCGTTTTAGCGACGGATATGTCAGCCTTGACTTAACCAGGGTAGACTTTACACAGTTAAAGTGTCCCTCAAAGAGCTATGTATCTTGGAGACACGAGGCTGTGGTAAAAGAACAAGTTGAAAAATGGCTAGCAGATGGAGTGATAGACATTAACTATCAACGGACGCCAGTTAACTTGGCACTGCTAGCCGTAGACCAACATAACTCTGACAGATCGTTTAAGAAAGTCAGAGTATGTTTAGATATGAGTCCGATAAATAAATTATTGCCGACTCATAGCTTTCACTTCCCTCGTATTAACGAGCTACTGCGAAGGATGGAAGGTGCTACAGTATTTACACCTATAGACCTTACACAAGGATACCGTCTAATGCAGGGTATATGAACCACATCGTAAATACCTTAGTTTTACGTGGAAAGGTAAATAATACAGACTCAGAGGTGCACCTTTCGGGTTACACTTTTTACCAGCATTCTTCCTACAAGTATTGGAGGAAATGTTTGCAGACATGCCTAACGTGCAAGTCCATATAGATGACACAGTCGTCTTTGCTAAGACTAAAAGCGAACATGTCGCTTTAGTCAGACGAGTCCTTCAGAGACTCAACCAACAAAACTTCAAGGTTAACGAGAAGAAATGTTATTTTGCCATGAGCGAAATTAAGGTAGAATGCCTGTTAGATTGGCAAACACTAACTACAGGAAGAGATATTAACAGCATGTGTGGATTTGTAAACTTCTTTTCAGATCGAGTATCACACTTAGCTGATTACCTTAAACCTATTGGACACTTAAGATGTCATAAAGGCAAACTAGGAGACTTGTGGACTAAAAAGTGTGATAACGTATTTAAAGCGCTCATACACGCAGTCCAACAAGCCCCAGTTGTACAAGGATCAGTCGATGGCGTGTCGTTTGAAATAGCAACGGACGCCTCCGACTTAGCCTTAGGAGAAGTATTATATCAGGTTATAGATGACAAATCTAGATATATACAATTCTTTAGTCAAGCAATGAATGCTTCACAGTTGAATTACCCAACCGTTAAACAAGAGCTATTAGCTATAATGGCAGCTCTAACACACTTCCGACATGATACAATATATTTTGATATAAAACATCTGCCAGGAATACATAACCATTTACCGGATATGCTATCACGCTTCGTACCGGACTTTAATAAATCCGTACGTGAGTTACTAGCCACTGACTGGAAGTGCAATCCCAGGTGGTTTGAACTGGCTCAAAAGATATTTGAGCCACATACCATAGATATATTTGCTGCACATCATAATGCACAACTATCGAATTACAGGACTTTAAATCATCCTTTGGGAGACACCTTTCAAATAGACCTCTCCAAACATAATGCGTGGGCTAATCCACCATGACAGTTAATTGCCCAGCTATTAAATTATGTTCATACACATAAAGCTACCATCACGTTGTGTTGCCCATTACGGAGTAAAGATCCATGGCTCAATAAATTAATAAGTATGATACAATGGGAGCCAATATATTTAAATAGGGAAGTAGAGCCCTGGAGATATACTATAATATGTCGTATTAAAAACCACGCAAGTGGATTGTCAACACCCTACCTTTATTCTGGAGGAGCAGAATGATGAAAATATTCTTGCTTGCCTGACGCAAAATCATAAGCTGAAGCACCAGAACGTAGTAGACGCACTTAAAGATGCTAAGCGAAATGGGCCTTTAGTTGTCAGAGTATATCAGTCATGTACAGACTGTGATCTCAATCAGATCAGGCGCTGTGAGTTCGCACCGCTTAAGAGTGTGACTGAAGATGTTCCATGGCGCAGGGTCATCATTGATCTGGTTGACCTGCCCACGTCCGAGCACACAGGCGACCGTTACGTATGCCACTTCTTTGATGTGGCGTCACGGTTTAACTTGCTCTATCCATTAAAGGATAAGAACACGCAGACCGTGGCAGAATTATGTTACCAAGTCTTTGCTGACCACGGGTGGCCAGGTATAATGTGCACTGATAACGGTAGTGAGTTCTGCGATGACGTAATGGAATCATTAGTACTCGTATCAGGCATGTGACATACAAGGGGTGTATCATATAAACCGCAAACACAAGGCGCTAATGAAACGCGCCACAGAAGACCTAAGTTCTTCTTACGTACTGCATTAACGGATGATGCAGATGATTGGCCGTACTACCTTAAGTGGGTACAAATACAGATGAACGAGTGTGCTGATCCGGTTACAGGAACAACACCCGCTCACTATTTTCGTGGCAGATATAGTGAGTTACAAATACCCGTTAACAAGGACGAATCTGATCACCATGAGTTACCATGGTTCGAGAAGGTACAACGCATACACAACGTTGTATATCCTTGCTTGCGAGAGACACGAAATGTGGCCTTATTAAAAAAGCAAAATAGATGGAATGCTACCAAAAAGGTTGCAGAGTATCAGGTTGGAGACAGAGGTAACATCCGTCAACGTAATTCCGATGCTAATGTACTAACATCGAAATGGATAGAACCATATATAATCTTTGTAGCCCACACTAAAAGTGGAACCTATGAAGTTAATAATCCCGACGGTTCCAGTGCTTTAAATATAGGCACTAGTCGAATTCCGACTACTGAGGTTATTCTCGCAAGAAGACGTGATTCTACTGCACCTCTTGACCGCTCCGAATTCAAAGATATTATATGGAGAACGGATGAAGGAGGATATACATACTATCGTACACGCTTTATAGACGGTACAATCGCTGAGTTAACTTCAGACGCTTTTGACAATCAGGACTATTTAAAGGTCTATAGCAGAAAATGGCGTAAACGCTTACATAAGTCACAGGCTGAAAAAGATAGCATGTCTCCATCGTCTGAAGGCACGGAAGTTAAAACTTACCCGCCAACAGCATTTATCCCGAGCTTTACTGAAACATCCAGTCGACCACCACGGACCTACTGGACCTAAACCCGAAACTCACAGGGTAACCGTGAATGCTTAACTTGTCCGCCTGAGAAACATTAACTATATCTTATGCTACTTAATGTTTTCGACCCGTTTTCCTTTCTCGCTTTTTGACCCATAATCAGCTTGAGTGCGCAACTTGCTTTTCTTGGGTCTCAAAACTGGGTGGGGGCTGTGTAAAAGCCGGTCCTCCACATTAGAATCTTGTAATATAAACGTACTAAACTTAAGTTTTCCTTAAATGGTTTTTTAACGGTTTTATTAATTAAATACCTCCATTTTACATATCAGATATTTGGACCAGGCCATTAAAAGGCCCCAGTAAAATACCAAACATAAGATTTGGTCTAGTTCTATTAATAGAACTATATTTACTCTCCAAATCTGTTTATATCTGAATACTTCGGTAGCGAGATGGCTCAACCGAACATATGTTTCTAAGGACTATTAGCGTTCCTTAGTTTATCCTTTGTTCAGCCAACCAGATGTGCCATTCTGATGAAGGCTAAGTCGGTAATTCTTGATAAGTGGCAAGTTATTGGTTAATACAATAACTATGGACATCAAGAGTATTTTTTTCTTTTCTTTTTTTCTTCTAAAGATAGGATTTTATGAGTCTCTCGGATTCGCCCCAACGAAACATATCATAGTTTCTAATAGAGCGACAACGAAACACTAAATAAAATCCCTTCGGCGAATACAGTACTGAGAGGATTATATATAGGCAATGTCTGAGCCTCACAATCCCTCAGAGTATTGCTGTTTTCACGAGGCATACCTAACTTTACTAAAAGACTAATTTCGTTTATTTACATTGAATTTAATTATACTTAGACTTAACCTAAGCGTTTAATTACTTTAAGGCGTTAATATCGCCTTGATAGACCAAAACTGACAATAGTGGTAGAAGCTTATAATACATAATATATAAATAAAGATATTATAACCACTTCTTCTATAGTGACTAAGGGATGTTTATATGTATGATACATACTTTTTACCCTTATTCTAACTCACCATAAATGGCTAGTGAGATTACCTGGGCCAAATCCATAATACTACCAGCCGGTGACTTAGGGTTTTTAGAGTTTTTTTAGGGTTTTTAAAACCCAAACCCTAAAAAAATTCCCCCGAACGTATACGCAGAGCTGGTGGTCGTATATTTAAAAACGACAATTATTTTATTTTTATTTTTTTTCTAAAGAGAAAGGAATGTATTTATAAAAACTAAGTTGATTTATAGAAAAATTATAAATATAAATCAGGTTATAATATGGAAAAACCTTCTATAATTATAAACTGGGTTATTTTATAGAAAACCCTTCTGTAATATTATTTTAGAAATCTATAAATAAATCTTGCTATATTTGGCTTAAGTGTTATGTTCACATATGAATAACGTCATTCGCCTGGACGTCCGCTTCGTGAACAAACACGAAATTGATCATATAATTATATATGACAATTTCTGCCAACGATATGGCTCATTCCTAACTTTATTTTATTGAGTTCAAAACACATTCTTTAAACATCAATTTCGTTTTTATAACATAGTAATATAGATAGTAGCAAGTGAGCCACGAAAAGCGAGTTTTACAACTATTGCATGCATCTTATTTATTTATTTTGCGACTATTATTGCATACATCTTAATTTTTTTTTGCGACTATTGTATGCGTCTTATTTATGCGGCTATTGCATGCGTTTTCTTTATGCGACTATTGTATGCGCCTTTTACCTGCGTTTTACTGTATACATTCGTATAGGGAGGATGTCAAAAGGGAAACCATTATAGACTTGACTGGTCCACCATTAGAGCGACCAATGTCAGACGAAGAATTGTAATATAAGGACAGTGAACAGACCATAGTGAAAAAGAAGTGGCTGGCGCAACTACCTTTACCGCCTGGATTTTTAAAAGGTGGGCAGGAGAAAGATGAGGAAAATTTGATGTCGAACGTAGACCCGGAGTTGGTAAAACAGATACAGATTATGAGGAAGTTAGCGGGTACAACAGTCATCGCAGATCACATTTGGGAAGAGGACCTCTCCGACGAACAAGTCTATGAGAAAGAACGCTCGAAAGATTGGGATGGTGATACAACTTATGGTGGTAGTGCTTCAGTTTTAGATTACAATTTGGATTTGGATTTGGATGAAAGTGCACACGTCGATGATCGAGGGTCTGGAGAGGAAGAGAGCATGATTCTCCTAGCTCCCAGATCGATAGTCGCAGTGGGAAGGATTCCGGTGACTCAGATCCAGATAATGCCCGTCGCAGAAAATGGCCAGAATTTGTACCGGACATCACCGCTTGGGACCGTGCTATAACTCGTGAATACGAATATAAACCAGATAATAATGACAAAAATTGGGATATTATTGGGAGATGGTGTATCACCAGCACAGGAATTTTGAAAGCTACCCCAAGGCTCTACAGTTGGCTAAAGATCTTGGAAGGAATCATAGGATTCTGGTCACCAGTCAAAGTATTTCAAAACAGGGCAATGCGGGTTAGTTGGTGAAGTTGATTATCATATTACATGCCTCTTGTAAACGAATCTATTCAGTTTTAACCTTTCGCCTGCGTCATATATTTTCGTGTGCAGCCTGCGTCTTGTATCTGCTTCTGTCGCCTGCGTCTTATATCTGCGTCTTATATCTGCGTCTGTCGCCTGCGTCGTATATATGTGTCTTATATCTGCGTCTTAACCGAGTATCGTCTTTTTCTTTTAAACAGCCATAAAGAGTAGCAGATCTGGTTAGCCAAAGGAGGCTCGGAATGAGAAGAGATGCGAGTAATCAAAAGTTGCAAATGAAAATCAATTACCACAAAGACGTTCTAGAGTATCAATTAAGTGCGGTTGCAAGTTTGTGGTAAGTCAAATTTATATGTTGTGACCTCCTATGGGTAAGCTTTGCTAACATTTACTATTATAAGCTCCTTGCGACCATCATTATGTGCACGATAACTGTACACTTGCTAAATTATCGAATTTTGATGTATTATCCATATGCATGTTAGATTGATTTGCTGCATACAAAGGCACCAAAAGGGAAAGTGGATGTTGAGTTCAAAAAAGGCACAAAGTACACTGGGTGGGTACGACCAGGGTACCGCTCCTTTAGGCACACGGGATGATGTCATCCTAGTGATATTCAAGCTGCTGCAGCACATACAGCGAGTGGTAAACTATTCAGTTTCGACGCCTTCGGGTACATGTGAGTGCGTTAAACCTATTGTCTAAAACAGGTGAGTGCGTTAAACTTATTGTCTAAAACAGGTGAGTGCATTAAACCTATTGTCTAATACAGGTGAGTGCGTTAAACCTATTGTATATTTTAGGATAACGTTTTGTCGTTTTATCTATTATCGATTATCATAATCCACTAATGTAAATCTTCCATTCCCTTTTCTCAGACTAAGAACACTCTTCTTCCTTTGTCGATACACCATTGCCCCGCCAATGAATTCAAGAAGGCTCTTATGAAGTTGTATCCAGATAATGTGGTCATCAATGCGCAGACCATCAGAAATATCAAACTCGTATGTTAATGCACAGTTAAAAAATATGATATCTGCGTCTTATACCTGAGTCTGTCGCCTGCGTCTTATATCTGCGTTTTTCACTTGCGTCTTATATCTACGTTTTTCGCTTGCGCCTTATATCTGCGTCTGTCGCTTGCGACGTATATCTGCGTTTTTCACTCGCGTCTTATGTCTGCGTCTCACAGTTAAAAAATATAATATCTGCGTCTTATATCTGCGTTTTACGCTTGCGTCTTATATCTGTGTCTTTCGCCTGCGTCTTGTATCTGCGTCTTATATCTGTGTCTTTCGCCTGCGTCTTGTATCTGCGTCTGTCGCCTGCGTCTTATATCTGTGTCTTTCGCTAGCATCTTATATCTGCTTTCATCGCCTGCGTCTTATATTCATACAGAGAGCGATCAAATGGGGAGTAGAAACTGGTGAAAGTAAAAATATTTTAGGCGACATGAGGACTGCTTTGCCGGGGTTTTATGAAAGATCCTCGCCGTTTGCAGAGAATGAACGGATACCTGATGATGTTATGAATGAATTTTTGAGAATGCGGGAATGCGAAGAAACGATGAACGCGTAAGTATCAGGGTTGCGTGCCTTCGTATAGTAATAAAGTTGATGAAAATCGTTAATTTCAAAGTTTAGTGTATTTTGAGTGTGCCCGCGTCTTATGCCCGCGTCTTACTATACGATGAGGCAATCTTATGCCAAATACGGAGGTATTGTGTGTATAGACACTCGACACATGGGCAACAATACCTGCGGCTGCCAATTGGTCATTATGGTAGGACCGGGAAATGATGGCATGATCAAACACTTTGGTGTTATGTTATTCTATATGGAAACTAAAGCCACACATAACTCTCGATAGTTTACAGAGATCTTTGAGTCATGGGCCAGGGGCGCCACTCAAGACGAAAATCGTGTTCGCCGACGGGTTCCTGAGTCAGGCGGATGTAAGTCCGGCGCAGTTTTTCTTCTCGGACAGGTATTATATCAAGCAAAACATTCACAAGAACTTGAAGGGTCTCTACGGTGGTACTGTCAAGGATAAGATTATCGCAGCCCTAAGTGCGGGAACACGAGAAAGCTGTACAAGGCACTTTGAAGCTGCAATTCGGACTCTACAATCTAGAGATGCAGACTCGACTGCAACTTACATTACCAGCCTCATGCAAATGTCAAGACACCTTGCTGATTTATCAACGCAGGAGGCTACGACAGTTCTGCGTTAGGAGGCGTGCAGAAAGATGATGTGATATTTGAGGATATGCAGGGGTCGGAGGTGCCTAAGAGTACGAAGCCCACGGGTATGAAACATACGAGTGGTAGGTATACATCATACACAGACGAGAATTTCACCGAGTATCAGGTTTTATAAAACCCTAAAACCCTAAAACCCTAAAAACCCTAAAACCCTAAAACGTAAATCGAATATAGTACTTGCTAGGGAGCTATACTCGCGAACCATCGGCCTCACTAATTCAAAATTGCAGATCCACATGCCTTTCCATTCCAGATCCAACGGCCTTCTTCCATCCTCTAATTTCTCATCTGCCATGCTCTTAATTTCTCACCTTGCATTCCCTGATTTCTCATTCAACGGACCGGCCTTCCATTCCCTGATTTCTCATTCAACGGAACGGCCTTCCATTTCCTGATTTCACATCCAACGGAACTGCCTTCCGTTCTCTTACAACGGTCCATTACACATTTCCAGAAGCATTCGGATATGTTGCTCAGGGTGTCTGAGAGTGAATACAAGTAATATATGCCAGTGAGACAGGGAATGACACCAATTTAACAATCGGAATGATATATGAAAGAATATACAGCATATTATACCTGTACGTCACAAGCTCTTCTTCCTTCCTTGCATACTCAATCGACAAATCTGAGAACGGTGGAAACATAAAAAGTCCAATTATGAGTATAAGACCATGATTATGAATTGCCCTTTTTGTTGATACATTCTTTCGACAGACAATGAATAGTACATACCTAGTTACACAAAGCCCATGTGCCACACCATGCCGGTACATTAGTGGCACATCGTTCTTTCTCATTCAATAATGACAAATAATTCTCAACGGCATGTCTCATTTATATATTTCTCCCTTTCTTTAATTTGAAAGGGTTACAGGGTGTCGGTTGGTGTCGGTTGCACGGTAGGTATTTATAATAATACTATTACTACTCTGTCACTCCGATACTCTTTAACTCTCTCCGTAGGTATAACAATAAAAACATTTTGTATCATCGGTCGCAGGCGAGAGCGGCGGACTTTGTGGTCGCAGTCGAGAGTCGCAGGCATAGTGGTCGCAAGACCCGATCGCGGGCATAGTGGTCGCAGTCTTAACACATCTCATTTATATTACGTGTTTATAAATAGCTATGATACGAATAATAAACGGTTTGTATTGATTGTTTATTCACTGATATTTCAAAAATGCTGTAGGCTACCATCATGATTTATGTTGTGAAATAGGTCGAAGAAAGTCCTCCGTTTCCCTTTTACAACTTTGACGCACAAACGCATTTGACAACGTGTGCAAATTTGCACAGTAAGATTTTTACACCCTTGAACGCAGCATTTTTGGTAGCGATTACGATCAATAGTACCGTGCTTTCTGGTGGCTGCTGGGCCTTCAATACCTACCATGCCAATTTCATGTGCACCACTGTCAATCCGCATTGCATTAAGGCGATCATCCTTACAGAATTTTTCACAGATTCTGTAGTTCTCCAATCTTGCAATACGTTGTGCAACTTCCTCACCACTCATATTTACAACTGGCCCACTTATATAGCTATTGAAACTATTGATTATGAATCTAGCATCTTCCTATGCTCGCATATCGGCAGCAGCAACCACCCCCTCTTCATGCCGCTCTCGTGCTATCGCTGTCTTTCCTAATAAACTTGTACAAACCTGTTCAACAAACTTAGTTAATGGTAGTGCCTTTGTACATTTCTTTCTAAATGATTAAAGGTTCCAGTTCTCATTGTCGTCATTGCTAGTTACCGTGAATGCATTGATAAAAATCTGCTCAAAAACAACTAACCGTTGCTGGAAGTTCATCTGTGTGTTAGGAACATATAATCTTTGAGTGTATTGCGTGCTTTTGTCTACGCCTGGCTTCATTATGCTATATAATTTAGCAATCCCAGACTTAATATCATTGAGAGGATAAAATACACCCGTTGTTTTCACCCTTTCATGAATCGCGCGCCTAAGAGGTAGATGTGAGTTCACTAAAATATCATAATCAATGAAATAGTCTGGACAACTCTTCCCATCATGTGCCCAGTCGAGTACCTTATTGTACTTGTCTAGAGTTTTGAAATATGTAGACATAACTTCTTCTGGAACTCTAATTAGAACTTGATATAATATCCTGTTCATCGTTGCAAACATAAGCAGCACATACTCGAGTTTCAGAACCATAGCCTGATGTATTACTTGACCGCGATAAGCATACATTACTGCATCAAACCATTTGTCGTCTTATACAGTGCATGTGAAGTAGACACCATATTTACGTGCAATCGCGCTGCGCTTATTGATTGTGCCGTGAGCAACAACAGTTTTGATCTCCACGCTACTCGTAACAGTATATTGTCGTGCGGACGGAGGACACAATATTGCCACACCATCTGCCGACACTTCAATCCATGGACACATTTTCATCCGCACCAAACCAATATCAAAAATGGATTGTATCACCTTCTGTTTGAATAAGAGGGCTACTATAAACAACTCGTTCTTGGTTCCAATCTTCATGGCATCAGATGAAAAGTGTCGGCCAAATGATGAGCCGATGGTTTTGCGGGCGGCCTTCCGTAGGTCGCTATCAGATGTTGTCGTCCCCTACAGTGCATGTGAAGTAGACACCATATTTACGTGCAATCGCGCTGCGCTTATTGATTGTGCCGTGAGCGACAACAGTTGTGATCTCCACGCTACTCGTAACAGTATATTGTCGTGCGGACGGAGGACATAATATTGCCACACCATCTGCCGACACTCCAATCCATGGACACATTTTCATCCGCACCAAACCAATATCAAAAATAGATTGTATCACCTTTTGTTTGAATAAGAGGGCTAATATAAACGACTCGTTCTTGGTTCCAATCTTCATGGCCTCAGATGAAAAGTGTCGGCCAAATGATGAGTCGATGATTTTGCTAGCGACCTTCCGTAGGTTGCTATCAGATGGAGGTCCCTATGGTGATATTAAAAAGTATTTTGATGAAAGTTTGGAAAGTTTTAAAAATGCAACACACAAATCAACATGCTTACAGATAACATACATCTGCAGAAGTATTCGTCGTAAGCGTGTCATCTTCATCACTTCTATTCTCTTCATTGTCAGAGTCGTTGTCTGCTTCTTCATCCGCACTGTGCTCACTATCATCATCGTTGTTGTCACCGCCAATAATACCGTCATCCATGCTAGCAAACTCATCTTCTCCTATCTGACGCCCTTTACCATCTTGTGTATCACTAATACGGGCAAGGACTTGGACCATCTATAAAGTTATCAACTACTGGTAGGGCTGCTGCAATCTGCCTCTTACCACGAGCCAAGAGCTTTCTTGCTTCTGAGCACTTTTTAGCTAAATGCTGACCCAAAGTACCGGTGATCATACGTTGTCTCAGTTTAAACCACTCGTTGGTCCTTTGTGCGCACGTCAGTGCTATAACAGAATTCGACAGGAGCTCTTCGACTTGTGTTATTTCCTCGGATCTAAGTAAGCCAACCTCTTCGGGCCAGAAAAGAGTTGCTGCTACGAGCTCTGCATTAGGCCGAGGCTTCTTAACCGCCACGTAAGTATTTTTTAAAGCATTAACATTAGGGTAATTGACTGCTGCGATTCGCAGAATATCCCAAGGAATATTGTGATTCTGCTTCTTCCTAGGCATTTGTCTGACTGCAAAGGCATGTAATTTGGCCTCAGTTGTGATGGTGCTGTTGGGCGTCTTGAGGCTCTTCGATGCACATACAATCAAATCACCCATACCTGGGTAATCGTCGATCTAAAAGCGTTCCGGATACTTATGGGCGGTCTATTTTCGAGCGATATATTTTTGAGCAATATATCCTATCTTGGCATTTGCACTATCTTGCAGAGCGTGTATGACTGGTGGGTGTATTCAAAACCGGGTAAAGCTTAGTAAAAGAACTTGAACGCCGCCCCATTCTTGTTATACAACACCGGTACTGAGGAAGCTGGGCGTTGTTGCTAAATGTAAAAGCATCGACAGACATCTTTGGGTCCAAAATGAGTTTAAACTTCATCAAAGAAACAAGGGCACAACTTCCAACAAGATGTAAAGAATACAGCTGGGAAGTTAATACCCGCCATACCCTCATGAACACGACTCCACATGTCTGATAGGTTGTTCAATTTACCTGATACATATGTGATTATGAAAATAAATTCTACAATGATGTGGTTCCATCGTTGCAGCATACATTCAATTTGTAATTATGTGTACGGTAAATTGATGTCCGATCAAATGACCATGAAAGCGTACTAGTGCATTTACAAGTGCCGATAGTTTCTTTTATACAAGGGTGTTGAATGTGTTTGCTTTGTTGAGTGTCTTTGAGAAGACTATCAAATAATATTTCTGGCTGTTAATCATTTGAAACAATGCTCCGCCAATGCCAAAACTACTAGCTTCGTTTTCTAAGCCTAGTGGCACACCGTCAGCAGGAAAATACAAACGAACTACTGACACGATCGCTTCCTATATCTAATCTACCATGGCAATTGGTGTCCCAGTTTTCAACGATGCCTGATCGATTCCTTTGGCACAAGCTTAGAGAAAGTCCGGAGTGGTCCACTTTATGTGAAAATTGAGTAAGCGCTCGTGAAGAAAATTCGTCAACCCTAATATGTACGGTTGGAATATCCCACGGACAACTTGATAGTGGTCAATCGATTAAAAATCGTTCCAATACCTCTTTCGCAGCAAAATGATGTTCTGATTAGATTTGAGGCTATTCTTCGTTAAGCGTCGAATGACCTCTTGGACAGTAGCAATGTGTTTATCATAGTCTACAGTTGCAATGATTAGACCGTCGGCGTAAATTGTACATCCAGTCCCGCCATCAGATCAATAGTCGGACACTGAAATTGTGATGTGAGTGCTGTCAAGCCAAATGGTGATGACATAAACAAGCAATATTGGCTATTGCATGTGAATAAAAACACATTCTTAAAGTCAGCGTGTAACGGCAATTGATGGTATGCTACCGAGAAATCAAATTTTGTATTGTACCGCTTTCTTATTAAACTGCTAGTGATCTCGTTGATATTAGGTAGCCTGTAATGATCTTCCGGGATGAGAGCGTTAACCTGTTGTGAGCCCAAACACGCACGGAAATCGATGAGCTCTCCTTACGGTGTAAAGGATGGTACACCAGCAATGGAAGGCATACAATCGACGTTGATGTCCGACGCTCGATCACTAACTCATTAGTTCATTTGTGACCTTGTTTTGATACATGTGATTTTTGCGTGTGTTCCGATACAAGATTACGTGTCTGTCTTCGTAGGCCTAATAACTTACTTCGTGGTGTCGGAAAAGACACATCATTATCTGATAATGTACAGCTATCCGCACCCAATATAGTCTCATTAGTGCCAAGATATTCTCGCAGTCGCTGACGACTGACAGAGATATCATCTGGCTCGATCAGGTGTGGAGCCATTCCAGGATTGATCGGTTTCATATTGTGGTTAATATTTAAAAATGAAATGCTAAACCAGTATGACCAAATCACAAGTGACTTATAATATCTACATCCAATACCATATCGATGTTATCCGGTATGTTCATAAGCGCGAACGTACACTCGGTGGTTGCTGTACCGTATTGGATACGCGTGTTGTACCCAATCGAGAAGTACGGGAAAACTTATTAGCGAAATAAATATAGCTATCCTTAGCTGGTACCAAACACCACGCACTTGTTCACGTCAGACACCCGAGTTTATCAATCTACTATGCATGTATGGCTCGTCGACCAATTGTTGAATATATATCACTTCATTCTCACCCGTCTCTTTGAACTAGTATTTGATCACCGTCCACCCAGTTAGCGCAAGGACGGAAGTTGTTACTTGGCACCTGCGACGCACATTTCGAAGTGCCGTAGCAGATGTACGTTGTGTAGGAGCCTCGCCAGACTGTGTGCGTTTGGTTTTAGCATGGGCTGGTGGGTTCTAGTGCCTGGGACAGCGGTTTACATGCCAAGGTCCTGGGGAAGCATCTGCTCGCATGATCCGCACCGAACACGAGAATTTGACGCTGACGCGGCAAGCGGGTTAGCTCACGTGATCGCATCGGCACGAACGTGGACGTGGACCATTTGGAATCTGCAATGGTCGCGGTATATTTTCCCGACGATTTTCTTCCGCTTTGCCAATGCTCACACAAATACTTCACACATCTTCTCGGACGAGTAGTCTCGCCAATATGGATGTATGCGAAGAATATCGCGATAGTACGCTGCACCCGCAGCTTGACCTATAAGATTAATGAACCTGCAGCGAATTCTCATACTTGCGCATATTCATGAGTTTTACCTTTGGTTCGAAATCGCAAATCTGTGTGTCTAGTGATTCGGTAGGCTTCGACTTCATGCATGCCAACACCTGTCGATATGCATTATCCTACGATTCCTTTTTGGTGTGCGTCGAATATTGGACAGTTGCTTCCTCAAACGACATAGTTTGTAATTTGTTCGTTCTCTACGATAACGTTTGTTAGCGCCTTAGAAAACTTTCATTTTGTAAAGGCTATTCGCCAACTACGAGATCGCGCATTCTTGTGCCAGTCTACGACAGGTGCATATAGTCTTGTCTTATGCAAATTATTGAAATAATAACTACCTTGTGGGTTAGGTGGCCATTCTTTTGGTGTCGGGTTGTCTGATGTTGCTGAGTATGCCTTTTATAGTTTTATCAGATGGTCGGATAAGACCCTGTAATGCTCGTGCATTCTTTATGTATCCCTTCTCTTCCGTCTGCATCATGCGTTGGAAAAGATGAAAGACTTGCATTTTCATTCAGTGATGTATGTATATTTAGGCTTTGTTAGCTTGCAGCGTTTTATGATTCTATATACTGTCTGCCAGGGAATTTAAGAACTGTTGTCGACTCCTGATTACTGCCAGAGCCACAAAGTGCTGTCGGCATCTCATTGGGTATCGGAAATTCGTGTGCCCGGCTTTGAGTATGTTTCAACATATGCTCCCTGCGAGTTGTGTGCACAAAATCGTATGAAGCTACCCGAGGAACAGGCTTTGTGCGACCAATGCTGGAGTTCACTGGGCTTAATTGTTACATATCGTTAGCTCCTTTGTTAGGTTGATTGTGAGTTGGTGTTATCCATGTCTGAGTCGGGTACTCACCTTGGTTGTGCTGGTTGTGCTATCTGTTACATAGAATGATCATGCTCTGACGTCGTCTAGAGTGTGTCATTGTCGTGAGTCGAGTCGACGCCCTCCGTTGGAAATTGACAAAGTTTGCAAAGTTTTAGTCGAAGTAGCCAAATCTTCGTAGCTTTTTGCAACATATGCTAGCATCTCCAGTGACCAACCCGGTCAGGAATCCGTTCAATACTTTGTTAGACTTTATGTATCGTAGAGATCGAGTGTTGAGCCTCAGAGGCTAGTCGGCCAGCGTAACATGAACTGCCTTAGCTTCATCATTGGGTATCGGCTCATCAGTGGAAAAAGGTCTCTCCACTTAATAGCACACATCAAAGAAAGATGTCGATGAATTCTAAGCAGCCATTTAAACAGCCGATCACAGGCTTTGATTTCTTGACCACCTCAGGTAGCGGCGTAGTAGTATGTCCCTTCATCGTGGTAAAACAAAAATAATACCCTATACCTATAAAGAACGTAGTGTAATAAATACAACAGTTCGGTCACTTAGCAGTGTAGTCAACACCGAGTATATCTTTACATAAAGATTGTTAAGTCTGAATTAAAGTGAACTCAATCAGAAGTGCCGTCGCGAACGGCGCGCCTGATGTATTAATTTATTACGTTCCTGTGCGAAAAAGTTTTCTTTAGCAGCGGGTAATATGAAAATATGCGTATTTATGGTTTTGGTCCCTTAGACCCCAAATTGTGATGACGTTGGATAGGATTTTATACTATCTTATTCAATTACCTATTTTACTATCTGTTCCTGGTCCTCTGGCCCGGTCTTGAAACGATCTCATCTCCGCCTAAGGTGCCTTGTCCACATGGATCACGAGAAGTGACAGTAACAGGGTCTTCCCAGAGAATAGCAGTGGAGATATAATTTTCGTCGATACATTATCTTTCGACCGATAGCAAATATGAGGGCATCATGACAATGGCGGTTAGCATGGGCGGCCAAATATCTCAGCACTTCATAATCCAGTGTGGTAAGAGTCGGAATCAAAAGTACACGATGTTCGTCGGATTGCGTAGATAGATTGAAGATGGACTGAAGCCTCCTGAAGGAAGCATGATGAAAGGTACAACCCGTAATCAAGGTGTAGGATGCAATGTTCGTCCCCGAGTTGATGCTGGAGTTAACATTAAGGATAAATTCCCAGGATTTCAAATCCCAGGTGGATTGGTAGCCCTGTCGATATTACTCAAGAAACGTATCAACCAGCTTTTCAACTTGTCCAATTACTGCGGTAATTCCAGATGTACAATGATGTTATTTGGTACCTTCTGAGTCACACAATATTATACAGGAACTCATTAATTACAAAGGGTTATCTTGGTCACGAAAGCATGTACCCATGCCATCAAGTGTTTAGGTCGATTTTGGAGCAAAGTTGAGACATCGTAAATTGTTTTCTCATTATGGCGAAAAGGACGCAACGTGCTTGCCAGGTATGCTCATCGACGCAAAAGAGTACGAACCGGAAACCTCGGTTTGTCATAACTTTATAGTCAAGATGACGCAATTGTCCATGATAATTAGCACGATCTGGTTGGGTGAAGAGGCTCATGATTGTGCCTGGTTAAGTACCAGCAGGTATGTCGCCAGAACATGTATTTAGAAGAAGAGGAAACCTCCCAAAAATGAACAATTCAGATGTTCTTGTATCATCCGGTTTAAACGGCGGAGACGAAGATGTCCACGACCTCTACGGACCTTCCAAAATAGCAACAAGGACATCTCGGGAATGTAGTATTGGACCTTGGGTATTATTAATGTGTTGGGCGACAAAAGCCAGCGCCTCAAACACACTGATATCTTGTAAACACATGCAGGGAGACATAAAATATTCTGCCGCTCTACATGGACACAGGTAGTGGGTTTTAGGGTTTTAGGGTTTTAGGGTTTTCTAAACACGAGATATCATGCTGCTCCACATGGGCACAGGTAGTGGGTCGATCCTGAAACAGTTGGCGGGGGTAAACCAGGAATGTCTAGTGATAGTTGAGGTCAGAAAGGTCGAGAGGAATCCATAGGGTAATCGGCAAAGTAGTGGGGAATTGCTAGACTATAAGTGGACAAGGATTGAGTAGTAGAGATCTCTTCTCCATCTGATTCATTTTGTGATGATTATATCCAATATGGAGGTATTTGACATGTATAATTTGTTTACATGGGGTGCGGAGAACTTCATCCTGGTGAGCTTAGTGGCCCGAACCCCTCATCTGTTCTGGGTTGAATGAACTCTCCGAATTGAAAGATAAACCTGGTGCCTCAGAGTTGATGACGTGACGTTGTGTGGCATTACTCTCGAACTGATGGCGTAAAACGTTGTTAGCGTATTCAGAAATACATCAACTCCTGTAATCTCTCAGAAAGCCCACGGAAGCTCAGGGTAACGGGAACGCGAACACAGATCGTTGTGAATTCCTCCAAGGAACAACAACGTACCGTTCCTACTACATCAACTACACAGCCCTGATACCTATAGGCGCCAACCAATACCAACTGATCCGGACACAGTCGAAGGACAATTACCTTCGCTAAGGAATAAACAAATAAATACAACCTACTATGCAAGCTTCAGAATATAACAACCGATGTTCAGCGCGTTCAAGTGAGATAGCACTCTGCTATCAAACCCACGTCACTAGAAAAACACCACGCCTCGAATTGACGGATACAAAGTATGTCTTTCAGTCTTCAATTGCCACTATGAGACATAGAAACGTGCTGGGTGTTTCGAAATGATCTACCTAAATATCATTTCTTTAATAGATATGCCAGAGAGCAGCCTCCGCAGTAGTGCCTTTACAGTGGCGTAGAATGCCAATTTAACATATGAACCCAGCAACTACCGTATACCTGCAACGGCCGATAGTAGTGCTGGCTTCAACACGCCCTGATTGGAGTATATTGAACCCACCGGCCTCAAGTGTAGCTTCAATGAGGAAATAATATACACGCATGGGTAGCAAGGATAAAAAGGCTATACACATTTGCTAAATTAAATGAAAAACCCTACGCTGATGTCAATCGATTTACTTATATAGTGGTTTTATTAGGGTCAATGGAGTTTCAATCCTTAGATGGCCCCGGCAGGTGCAATGATGACAGAAAATTGCCCAGCAAACATATTAAATTAGGGAAGGTCGATCCATTTCTGAAACATTTTAGGGGGAGGGGGGGGGAGGGAGACGTAGGCTGTGAATCCATCCAAAAAATATCCAAAAAAAATCACCAGATTATACGCCATAGGTGGGGGAGAGGCCTAGGTCGCAATGGGTGCCTGCAAAGGGATAAGTGGTGTGTTATGCGTGATTGAATGAATGGATGTTAGTTGGTTGGGAAACAGCTGGATCTTCTTGTATCGGGGTGGAACAGGTTTGTGTGAACTACCAAGACGTGCACAAGTGCAGCATAGACTCAGACATTCAAGTGGTTCTCGAACTCAGAAAACCTAGCGGGGTTTAGGGGTTTAGGCCAATAAAGTAGGCACGGACAGGATCGCAAACGAAAACAGTGTCGATACATAGATTTGCATGATAGTGCAAGAATGTGCGACATTAGACTGTCTGGGACTGGACCAAGAAATAGGACTAAGAGATTTTACCAAGTAACAGGTCTGTACACAACCCAACTACATCTCTATCTCGAGCGCAGAGACGTACACCTACTTGGAGTTTGGCCAGGCGTCCCTTGACACCATCCATTCCTTCGTTGTCTTTTTCTCTGCGCCCTCTCCTGCTGTAGTTTGGAATGATAATATATTACGCGTAGGTCAATGAATAATTATATTACGCGTAGGTCAATGGATAATATACTACGTGTAGGTCAATGGATAATATACTACGCATGAGTAATGGATAATATATTACGCGTAGGCCAATGGATAACATATTACGCGTAGGTCAATGGAT